GCCTGACTCATCACATGCTGGCTCTGCTCCACTCGCACACCAGACCGCAACAACTAGACCGTTGGCATCACAACACGCCACAACAACCGTCTACACAGCCGACCTGGCCTCGGCCCGCATTGTCTATTTATCCTGGGCAAGTCAGCCGGGCTGAGCAAACTGACCGCTCTGCTGAATTGAGCCGCCGTAATCGGCAATGTCTTAAAACTTGGTTGAAGGATGATGACTCGTCTGAGCCAAATGCAGTCAACACCGTGATGGTGTTGTCAGCCGCCGTTTTTTCCGGCCTCGCCCGCTGCCATGGTGGAGGAAGCTCTCACCGATCGGCAAGCAAGTTTTGCACTGGCCAAGATATGGCTAAGAGTACTTTTTGAGGATGCCAAAAAGCGGCGACCTACAGCATTCAGGTCGATCCCGGTAAACAAAAAGCCCAAGTCGTCCTACCAATATGACCAAGTTGCGAAAACAAGGTCAATCAACGTCTATACAACGAAAGGAGGCTGCGACCACACAAAAGGCCACACCATCCTGGTCTTCATACCTTCAAAAAGCCCATAAGATGTGTGCACCCTATTGAAGTAGCTGAATTTTTTTTGAGAATCTACCTGAAACAAAAAAGCCATTTGTAGATATGACGACCAAGATAGTGTGGTCTTCTGTTTGGTCGCAGTCTGAGCGTCAGGGAGACCTTGTGGAATGTACCTTGTCCTTTGTCCTCTGCCATAATATTCGTGATGTCCAGCATCGAGCCTTGGGACTTGGTACAGTCGCAAAAGTTTCGCCAGCATCCAAGTCTGTAGCGTCAGTAGGCATCACTCTTCGCCCATATTTTTTGCTCTATCTTCTAGTGCTGCGTCTCTTTCTCCCAATTCCACTTTATATCGAATAGTTCGACCTTGCTTTCGCAACTCGGTCATAGTGGTGGGAAAACTTAGAGGAATACACCTTGTCCTGCGTCTATTGTATTATTTCCAAAGTCGGACCGTGGATGTGGTACATTCCCAGACGTTTCGCCGGCATCGTCAGTGAGTCTCGCCATTCGTAGCACCATTATTCCTCAGGAAATGTGAATAGCCCAGGGCAGAATGGGAGATACCACAACTGCTTAGCACACATTTGGTCAAAGGATGGGCTTCACTTGTCTCTTTGACGAGCTGTACTATAGTGCTAAGAATGACGAGACTCACTGACGATGCCGGCGAAACGTCTGGGAATGTACCACGTCCACGGTCCTA